TGGAATGAGGGAGATCTCCCTCATTGGAGGTTTCAGAGGTTGACAACTATGTAGAATTAATTGCACATATTTCTATGTTACATGTAAATACTAAATACTAAACCTGGTTTACAGAAAAGATTTTTTTTTAATTATTATTAGCTATCCCTCTCTGAACAGCTGGTCAGTGTGATGTTGTCTTCCGAGGGTGTTGTAGTGGACACAGGTCAGCATGCAGTGACCATCCCTCTGTTCTGTGTGAGGAGTTGGAGCATAAACACTGTCTCGAGTCTCATTCAGTACAAATACAAGAGCTCTGCTGATCAAGATGTTACCTTGTCTTTAGGATCAAATCAGTTTCGGTATTTACATGCCGGAACGATGGAAGCTATTCAGGACTTTCGTGTGAGTACAAAATTTTAGATATTTTGGTGATTTGAGATATCAACTTATCTGAACAATTTTATGCAATGAGCTTAAAATGTGTTGAGCTGAGATTTGGGTTATAATATGTTATGTCTTTCTGATATGAATAACATCTTAATCAGCTAGCAAAATTACAAGAATCCACCTAGTGAGCCGATGCATGTAAACTTGATTAAATTTGCCAAGACTCCCCATTTGATGTTGTCGGATTATCTTTGCTTTTAAATTGCTTTTACTCTTATGGCTAGACCAGTGAAATTCATTTAGGAAAACATTAAAGGGGTATGCAGAACTTCACTGAACATTCACTAGCGAACATTGGATCTCATTTTCCCTAGTACAGTGTATAATTATAAAAAGTTCAATGTAAAGGTGACACCCAGACATTAATTTCTGTCATTAGTAAATTTTCATTTTGATTTTGTGTACATTATGGATAGTTTGTACCATAATACATCAAAATCAATCATGATGCACAATGTACTGAATTATAAAGGTATATGTAATACATTAAAATAAATCATGTTTGACAATGTGCATTACTGTACTTATACCTATACCTAAAAAATTAAGTTTGACATTATACTAACAGATCAAAACAGGTTGAATTAACTTACCGGTAACTGTAATAACAACATATGAAATGTTATGATTTTTTTCAAAGAATTTAGTATAAGTGACTGATTTGCACTATTAGTAATGAATTTTCAAACCCTCATTCAATTTGATTATACATGACTGTTGTTCTGCAGATAAAACATGCTGATTCTTCAAGCTTCTTCTCGAGTATGATCTCTACCTCACCAGATGGCGCTGTCACTGTCCAGGAGAATGCTGTGTTTGACAACGATAAGGCTAAAACTTATAGTATAGATTTTAGTGGACTTCAGGCATAACTGGGCTGGAACAATGATTTAATGTCATTTAAACAAGGTTGAAATTTTATTTTTATATTTCACATTTGAAATAACATCTAAAGAATTGTTTACTTAAGATGCCTGCACAGAATTAGATTAAGTTTGCTATCTCAGTCTGTGATAACAGATTCATTTATTTTGTGATTAAAAGAGCAAAACAATATCTGTGGAATAGTATTCTAGCAATTTCATTATGTGAAAGTGCCATGGTAAGAAAATAGTATGATGTGCCATGTAAAATTGAATATTTAATATTTAGCAGGTGACCCCGTGCATCCAAAATAATTTGTAGGTATCAGTCCATATTCATATTGACTGGTACTGTACTGATGTTGTGAACGGTTAAAACACTCTCAAAACTCATGTTGATCTGATATGCGTATATATATACAATGATAAAGGGATAAAGAATCTGGTGCATTCCAGGGTCAACTGCTGTAGATGCACAGGCTTCAGTTACTTACCTTGGTGTGTTAAAGAAAAAAGTCTCTTATATGTGTGGTAAAACACATTTTAATAATGTAAATACATGCTCATGTCCGGTTTATATCTTGTGTAGTTCTCAACAGATTAACTTCAAACTTAATAGGAAGGTTCATTACCCTGATAGCTCGGAGAAGTTTGATAACCAAAATTATCTGACTGTAATTTACGGAGTTATGAACCTTTATTTATTTGCTCAAACAGTGTCTGCTCAATATCTCCAGTAGTTTTCTTTAGATTAACTTCAAACTTCATAGGAAGGTACATTACCACGATAGCTAGGACAAATTTGATAACCATTGTTGTCCAACTGTAATTTATGGAGATATGGCCCTTTATGTACAACCATACAGCCAACTGCTTATTTAATCCAACAAATCACTATGTTACAGCTTTGGTCAAACCACTAATCGATTTGGATTATAACCAAAAGCTTGACATTGAGTATTTACTCTCAGTGATATGAAATCCAGAACGTAAGTGCCAGGTAAGGAACAATCATATTGCTTGTATTATGATTCTGCAATTTATTTATATATGAACAACCACATTCAAATGTAGCTGGTAGGGTGAGTCTATATCTTAGTTAAACAAATTCATGTATCGTCTGTCATCCCAATTGTATTGTCAAATTTCATTTATGTACTTGTACTTTTAAAATACAAA